CAGCCCTTTGACCTCTGTGCATATCTTTCTTCCCTTGCCATTTTTCCTTGGAATTTGGGAAATCTGGCTGGTGTCTGTGATGTTTTTCTTAATTTAAGAAAACTGAGAAACATTTGAAAGTTCTTTGCCTTTTACATGAGGGAGTCAAAGACAACATCTCAAAGGGCTAGAGCAAAGAACTCGACTTGAGGTTTTACTTTCACTACAGGGAAAGATTTTTTGTGTGTGCTGAAGAAATAACACAGGTATTTTGTGTAGCTGTTGCTTGTGTTTTTTAAAATGATGCCTGGCGAATCACATGATTTAACTCCTGCCAGCCTGTCGTCAGCCAGAATGTATGTAGTCAGAGCTGCGCCTTCATAGAAGCTTGCGACTCTTTTCTCGTGTTTTTACTTTGAGATTTTGGTTTTCTGGTTTTCTGTTCTGTAAACCTGTTTCTCTTTAAATGTTTTGCACAGTTAGAGTATAGAAAAGCCTGGGGCGGTCTCAACGCTCTCTTGGTTTTTATGGGGTCTCTTTCCAACAAGGCACAGTCCTCCCACACAAGCCACTCTGTGCACGTTTGATAAAGGTAAACAAAAGAGTAGATCATCCCGAAAGTTGATTTCACGTTTCCCATAGGCAGAACTGGATCATTGGCAGGGCTGGTGATTTTCCAGGAAGCTCCTAACTGTCTTAGGCCAGTGGCTCTAAAGGGCGGATGCACGCGGGGTTCCTTCAGGGCCCCGCTCTTGGAACTCCTGCCCTACAACACAGTTTGAGAACCCCCGTTTGAGGTTATTGTCTATGTACAGGCTCTGGGGACAGGGGAGGTCTGCTCTTGAACCTGAAAGATGAAAGCACGTTTCTATGCAGGCGCTGGAGTCCAAACTTGCATCCTGCCGGAACTTCGTGTACGATCAGTCCCCAAACCGAACAAGCGGCCCCGCCTCGGGGCGGGGGAGCAAACACAGAGATGGCGGTGGCGAGAGACAGCCAAGCAGCAGCGGCGTGCCTCTAGGTGACAAAGGGTCAGTACCTTTTTAGCTGTCCGCTCCTGGGGGGAGCCTCTCACCCCTGACCGATAGCCATTTTGTAAAAGTTGGAGGATCAGGTCAATGAACCTTAACCCTCCACCCCCTTGGGACGCAGTGAGGTGGTGTCTTCCGGTGAAGGTTAAGGGCGAATGGCCAGGAAGAGGCTCGTTTTTATTACTCGAATCTGCAGCCCCAGCTCCTGGTCATGCTGTGAGAATGTCCTGTATGAAACACTTGTTTGGGACTTGAGCTTCAAAAGCTTCTCTGTTTCCCCTAGAGGAGGATTTCTTTTTCCTTAAAAAGAAAAAAAAAAAAATCTTTAGAACCTCAGGAAACAGGGACTCCATTCCAGCCAGACTAGATTCCAGTAACCTGATGGGAAAGCACAACTCAGACTCTGACAGCTTTGGGTATTTTCTTACTTGAGGAAAATCAGGACAGCTTCTGGATGGGTTGATTTCCTAAGCTGCGTCGCCATGGTCCTGGACCCCGAGCCAAGTAACTTGGGTAGGTGTGGGGCAGACAGAGATGATGGGGAACGAAGAGTCGTTTTCCACGGTGCGCACGTGACTTCCGACCCCGTCGAAGAGGGTGTTTTTAGTGGGTCTGGTGTGACTGGGCTTTTTGTGTGGCCTCGGGAATGTGCGAGCTCGATGGCCAGTGTCCTTTTCTTCGTTTCGCAGGAGAGAAAATTGACACCCAGGGAGACCCTGCTCCTGACTCTCTTTACTCTTAGAACTTTGTGGGCCCTGATGTTAGCCAGTCTGTGACAGCTGTAATGTCCGCCTAATTTGGTTTGCTCTGTCTGAAGGTTGGGAAAACGCCTGGAATTTGGGAAGCCGCCTTCAAATATTTCCTCACCGTCGCTGCCGTCAGCCCAGGGTGTAGTCAAGATGTTGCTTTAGGAAATCCACGGAAGCCGAAGCCCCTGGTGTGTCTGTGTGGGAGTCGTTGCTTTTCTTTCCCTCCTTAAACTAGGTTTTTGCTTTGTTTAAGTTAGTTTAAGAACTACGAGCAAACAGTCACACTAGCCACTGAGGCCATCGCCTATGGCCCCTGGTAGCTGTCCTCGTGAAATGTTGTCTCCTCCTCCCCAGCCTCCTTGCCAGTGCGTTGCAAATCGACAGGGACAAACCGGACCCTCTGGACAGGGCTCCGTGGTGTGGATGCTGAGGCCACCCCATCATTTTGAACTGACCTGAGTGTTGAAGGATTTGGGGGTGTTTTTTTAATGACTGGAATTGCCTTAAAAATGGGATGTGAGCCCATCTCAGGCCCAGGCTATCTTCCGTAAGAAAATCTCCGTGCTCTGTGGCACCAGAAGGGTCTGTGTACTGAAATTGTGTCTAAGAGAAAAGAGTAGGATAGGCACGTGCCTTTTTTTTAAAAAAACACACTATGGTGTAGTGTACCTCTGGGACTCACTCTGCCTCTCACTGAGGCGTTGGGAGCTGTGCTTGTGTTTCAGAGGCGATCTTGTGTGGACAAGGGCGATGGAAACATCTGTATCTTCTTTAGATCGTTCCTGATCGTTGGGTTTCCTGGAACTTGTGCCCTGGCCCTGGGGGTGACCTCCCCTGACGGTCGTTGGGGTGGCGTGGCCTTATGAGTACAGCCCCTAAGAACAGAACTTCATTCAAAGCCATGATAAAGTAACCATGGTGGCCTCCACATAGGATTGAACCACAGGATTGTTGTTGGAAGCTTCCTTGTGAAAGAAGACACAAACACGGCATTTTCACGTGGACGGAGTATGTGCTCAGCCCTGCCCATCGTGAACGGTTGGCTCACAGTTTTGGAGGCAAGTTAAAAAGAACACGTGAATTTGGGAGCATGCACGCAGCTTAACCACCCTTTGTTACTAAGTTATTTTTCCAAGAGAATAGCAGAAATATCCTTGAGTTGAAAATAGAACTTTTCAAGTGCTTTTGAAATTCAACAGAGAATTAATCTCTGGTGCCCAGTTCATTACCATGGGAACATTCTAACCTGTATCGGGAAAAGACGGACTTCTATTTTTTTAAAAGAACAATAAAATCAAGAGAAACTCATTTTCCACGTGGTGGTGGTGGGTAAATGCTGCTTTGTGCCTTGATGTTTGCTCGAATGGTGGCAAAAAGTTTGTTTTTGAACCAAGTAATCAAATACGAAAAAACTCTAGTTGAAAAAAATTCCTCTTCACGTCAGCTTCTTAGAAGTGTATTTAGGATATGTTTGTGTATTGTTGAGGGTAGGTTCACGTTTGGCTATTGGCTTGAGTTCTTCCATTGCCATACCTCTTCTCAAATCTATTTGACCTCTACGGAATCAGTGGGTGGAATCAATTTGTGTGGAATAGAACTTCTGCAAGGAGAGGACGCACGGCCTGGTTTTGCATGGCCCCCGTAGTAACAATGGTTTTTATGTTTTTAAAGGGGAAAACAAAAACGGAAAGATGAACATGTGACAGAGACCACATGTAGCCTAAAATATTGACTCTCAGCCTTTACAGAAAAAGTTTAAAAAAGTTTGGGGTGCCTGGGTGGCTCAGGGGGTTGAGCATCTGACTCTTGATTTCAGCTCAGGTTGTGATCCCAGAGTTAATGGGATCAACTCCTGCATCAGGCTCTGCATTGAGTGAGGAGCCTGCTTGGAATTCTCTCTCGCTCCCCCCCCCCCCCCCACTTCTGCACCTCCCCTGCTCAAGCACTAATGTTCCCTCACTCTCGCTCTCAAAGAAAAAAAAAAAGTTTGTCGATCCCTGCTGGATGAAGTCTTATGTTTTTGAAATTCAAGGATATCTTGGGGCACGTGGGCGGCTCAGTCGGTTGAATGTCCAACTTCGGCTCCGGTCATGATCTTGCAGTTCATGAGTTCAAGCCCCACGTCGGGCTCTGTGCTGACAGCTCGGAGCCTGGAGCCTGCTTCGGATTCTGTGTCTCCCTGCCCTTCCCCTGCTCTTGCTCTGTGTCTCTCAAAAATAAACATTTAAAAAAATTTTTTTTAATTCAAGGATATCCTATATCCTTCACAGTATGTACATATGAGTTTTGATTGATAAGGATGTTCTTCATGGTCAAGTTCCTACTTCCTGGGCCTGGAGCTGCCTGCCTCTGCTTGGAGAAGTCCTCTCACACAGACTCATGTGACATCTGTGCTTGCTTGCTTGCTGTTGGGTTTTGTTTTTGTTTTTTTTTTTGCCAGCTCTGGGATCTCAGATAATTTATTTCCCCTCCCCAGGCCTCAGATTCCCCATTTATGAACACTGGCTTCCCAGGGTCATCGTAAGGATTAAGCAAGAACACACCCCATTCTTTCACTCCGTAAAAAACAACAGAAGAGCCGACTGCACTCCAGTGATTTATAACCTTTTATTAGTGAAGGTGTCCTTAAGTACAATCGGGGTGCATATAAAACAGTGTAACATTCTTGCTCTCATCCCGCTGGAGCAGCGTCTCCTTTTGAATTCATGTGACTACCGAAGGCACTTGGTCTCGGTGAACTGTGTGCATCTGACATGCGGTAACCAAGAGGGGAAAGAACTCAAACAGGGGCCCACTCGAGACGTTGGAAGGGTAGACAGGCCAGGGAATGGCTTGGGAGCGTGAGGCAGTGGCACCCATTTTGGTGACTTTCTCCCCGTTTCACGTAAACTAAGTTGCCAGTGATCAGTTACTGTGGTTCTATTTTCCTAAAAACTCAAGATTTCTGCACAATTCACTGATGGGGGGGGCGGGGGTGTCTGTGTCGCTTCTTGGGTTTTTCTCGTTTGGTACAGCATTCAAAACTCCATCGATACCCTGGACGCAGGGCGGTGGTTTTTATATTCGTTGTGAGGGGTGTCTGTGACATTTGGGATTTGAAAATGGATTTAGACAGTGCTAAGCAGAGTCCACTGGGTTTGGTTTTGTTCTGCTTTTCGCAAGTTGTTTATTCACTGGCTTTGGTTCCATTGAAGTCCGCATCGCGAGCGTCCATTTCCTCATCAGATCCATCGGCGTTTTCAATAACTCGACGTCCTCCAGACCTTCTAGAGGGAACAAAGGAGGGCTCGTTTCCTCGCCTGTGGGTTTTAAAAGAATACACGTTTCTTTAGTACAGAAAGCCCCCCCTTGAGATTGGAAGAGGCTTTTAAAGGGACAGAAAACAAACACAGACAAACTGAAATGAAATGAAAATATTCAGGTTAAAGTCAAGCGCTGACCTATCTCAAGGTGTGGTAACGTTTAATCAGCTGGAACGGGAGGAAAGTAGATTTTTCAAAGCAAGAGAATCAGCTTTAAAAAAAAAAAAAAAAGGTGCAGGCGCCTGGGTGGCTCAGTGAGTTGAGCCTCTGACTCTTGATATCTGTTCAGGTCATGATCCCGGGTAGTGGATTGAGCCCCACATCAGGCCCCACACTGAGCATGGAATCTGCTTAAGATCTTCTCCCTCTCTCTCTCTCTCCAACCCACCCCCACCCCCACCCCACACCTCTCTCAAAAAAAAAAAAAAATTTGGGCTTGGTCATCTGATGGCCCACAGGATTCTCTTCTGTGGTCTTTTATTTGGAAAAGAAGAAAAAAACGAATCAAGCGGGGGCTGACACATTCCCGTGGGGTTATTCATACCCTGTGGAGCAGGTGTGAAGGAGAACGTGTTCTCATTTTGTACCCCCTTGCCTTCAGAAGGGAACAAAGGGGAGGGTTTTAGGTTCTCAACCGGAAGAAGGTGGAAATGAGCATCAAAGGCAGCATTGAGGCAAAGAGGTCACCGTGCGGATGCCAGAGGTGTGCGCTCTGGTTAAAGCAACGCAGGGTCCCCTGCTTGTTTGAGAGCAGAATTCTCGGTGTGAGTTCTCCCAGGACAGAGATCTTGCTGATTTTTACTCACCACACAGGCACCGTGCATGGCCTATAATAGGTGCCCAATGAATATTTGTTAGAAAAGTAAGCTAGACATGTTAATTTAAGGTGTATTTTAGCTTTAGCTGGTAGGATACCCCTTTCTCTGTGTGCTTATGGCTCCCATCTCTGGAGTGCCGGATGCCCTGAGTTCCTGCCAGGGTGTGCCTAGGTCATCTGCAGTGTGGCTTTGGTTAGGAGGGCAGGCAGGTGGCAGGAGAAGTCAGATAACCAGCACTCAGCGTCCTCTCCAGGAAAGAAATGTTTGCTGTGTTTTCTGGGACAACAAATAATCGTATTTGGCTCTGGTGATCTGGCCCTGTTTGACCTGAATCAGAAGACCGGTCTTAACTCATTTTAGGATGCCTAAGAGGAATGCAGAATTTTTGTCATAAAAAATGACCCGCTTCGCCACGCAGAGGCTGGACTTTTGAAAGCTATGAGGGAGAGTCCATCCCCGTTAGAGATTTTTTAGTCCAAAGAGACAACTCAGAGAGGTAAGATTGGAGGCAAAAGGAAGGCCCAGAACATCCTGAACACTGAGAAGGGGAGTCCCAACGTGAGCCTTCTGGGGTCCGAGGGTGGGAGAAACCCGGGCTGGGAAAACCCGCCTAGGTTCACAGAATGCTACTGAGGGGCCACGATCAGGGATGAATACTTAAAGTTGTAACCACTCCCAGCTCAAGACTCAGGCCAGCTTCACTCACGTCAGAGGGAAGCTCAGAAGCGCCCTGTGCCCTTGGAACTAACTTTCCATCACCCTCTCTAGAAGTGACCTGTTAAAAAGTCTTTAGCACTGTGTTTTCCAAGCACCTGGGTCTGAAAGCAGGGTCTCGGAGGACAGGACAGAAAGGAGTAGCTTCCACGCGTCTCTCCCGCTTCTAATCCTCCTGGTTCAAAACTCGGTGGGACAGCCTGGGGTTGGGAAACTGTCTCCCCTACCCTTCCAGGCTCCCGGCACTCTTGGCCTCCCAAGACAGTGTGGATTTGCAAGCTACAAGAGCTGAGGTGTAAATGTGTTCCTTTGATCTAAGACGTAAATCATGTCCCGGGTCACTGTTAGCCCCCTGCTCCGCCACCAGTCCTGTGAGCCTGTCTTCCGGTTCAGGTACCCTTCCTGAAGGAACTGGCTTCAAATCCAAGGCCGAGGTGGGCACTGGCTACATCAGTCACAGGAAGTAAGGGACCCCTTCTAAAGATTTTCTTCAAGTGTCTGGTCCTGGAGAGTCTGGCTTCTAGTCACAGACTCTGAGAACTTCTCTGAGGCACTAGTGGCATGGTGGGATCCAGCACCAGAGCAGAAGCACTGATTTGCAAGGACTCACTTTCCCATCGACTAGTGGGTCCCACCGTCCAGCCTGAGCTGGCAGGAGCGCTGCTCAGAAAGCCATGTTCTAGAGGCCGGGCACTCTTCCTAGAGCTCCTGCCAGTACCTCATCCAGCTTTAAGTATTGGGGTAGCGACAGCTACTTCTCCAAAAGAGAAGAGGGACACAAGCCAGGGCCTGCTTGGCCTCTCAAGGAAGATGAGAGGAAAACCAGGCCCTGGTTGCCTAACGTCACGTGTGAAAAGCTGGTAGACTCCCACACAGGTTGAGGCCTCTTAACTCTGTCGTGTGAAGGGCCCTGTGTCCTTCCTCGAGTCTCGGGTGTCCTGTCCATCCCCCGCTGTGTATACGGGCTCGCAAGACCCCTGGAAAAGGCTCCGTCCGGACCATGCTTGGCTGCGCAGTGGCCAGCACGTGTCCTAGCGTGCAGAAAGTGACGCTATCAGCTAGGCCTTGCTCAAGGCTCATGCGGCCCCAGCGACTGTAGAACGCGCAGTGAGAGCCCATTTCTTTTGCAGACATGCGTATGAAAGCCCGGCTGTGGGGACAACCAGAAGCCGGGCTGTGGTTCCCGTGAGCCTGTGCTCGTGAATTGTTATTTGTGGACCAGATTTGAGGCCCTTCTCCACGAAAGGGCCCAGGCTGTAGAAGTGTCATACCCGCTCAGTGCAGCGTCTTAACCAGATGGAGGAGGACAGCAAAGCCAAGTGTCCTACTGCCAAGTGTGAGAGAGGCCCACTTATGCAGGTACCAACAATCCGAGGACACACACGCAGCCTCTTAAGCACTCGTCAACACACGGTGACGAGGACACATTTGGTGCCGTGTCAGATGCCCAAGCAGAAGTAGGGAAGGAAGACGGGTCAAGAGATTAAGTCTTGTTGTACTGATCTTGGCTATGATAAAAAGAGTTTTGAACTAAGACATCCAGGCCTTCAGATTTTGCAGGAATCCCATGGAGGTTCGTGAGGGTCAAAAAAGGGGGTCGCAGGGACTGGGAGGGTGGGAGGGCAGACGGAAGTGGAAACCAAGTGCAACACACATGAGCCGCGAAGCTGGAGGCATGGTACCTGGTGAGTCATTGCGGAGTTTCCTGGGGAAGGGGGCCTCTGAAACAGAGAGAGAGAGTCTCTGGTGGTTATCCTCCGCCAACGAGAGGGAGTCCTCTAAGTGCTTTTGTTTTTTTTTTTTTTTTTAATTTTTTTTTCAACGCTTATTTATTTTTGAGACAGAGAGAGACAGAGCATGAATGGGGGAGGGGCAGAGAGAGAGGGAGACACAGAATCGGAAACAGGCTCCAGGCTCCGAGCCATCAGCCCAGAGCCCGACGCGGGGCTCGAACTCCCGGACCGCGAGATCGTCACCTGGCTGAAGTCGGACGCTTAACCGACTGCGCCACCCAGGTGCCCCAGTGCTTTTTTAATCATTAAAGGCATTCCCTTCGACGAAATGATCAAAGGCACTTCTAAGTCAACCTGGCAGAGAAGCACGGGACACCAAGAACTCTGAGGCCGGCACGCGTAAGCTGTTGGTTCAGCTAAGAAGCTCACATCTGCTGGTGTGGCAGAGGCCGGGCCCAGCTCTTTAACAGGCGCTCACGTTGAGGTTTACCTGGTTGGCACGACTATGAAACTCGTTTCGCATTTCCTTGTTCACTGAGAGCTGGCCAGGCTTGCTAACCTCACTCATGGCTCTAGTGCTGGACTTGAGGTTTTGCACGTGGGACCCAGAGGACGCAGGAAGGTGTGACCGCTCTTGGCCCTGCCTTAGGGTATGCTCGTACCGGGAGTGTCAGAAATAGTCTGTTCCATACTCGCCTGTAGGCCCTGAGGAGGGTCAGCTGTTGGGGGGCAGAACCCACAAGGTACGTTGAACATGTGCTAAGAGAATCAGGGGTCCTGACCGCAGGGAGCAGTGACAGCCAGAGCAGCTGACTGCTTCCCCATCCCCCGGCCTGGCACTGAGGAGGGCAGGGTTCAGTCACCAGCCAAGCAAATTCTGGAGGGGAGAGGGGGGACAGCTCCATGTGAGAACAGCTGTCTTGCTGACCATCGTCCTGGGTGTTGCTCGCAAGCCCCAGTTGGACCTGAGAGGTTACGTCTTGTTTCTGTTTCACTGGGGGGACCCACAGGCCCTCCCCAGCCTTGTGTGATCTGGGGTCTCCTTCCCAAAGCCCTGTACCCCAGGCCACCCATCCTCCCCCTTCTGAAAGGGGTTTGGGCTGTCCCCTCATCACCTGCCTGCAGTGATGCTCAGAGCCTGGAGTTGATAATGGCAGGTGGTTTCAGATGGTTCCTGGGCGTGCCCCTGGATAACTCGATCGCACAGTGAGAAAAGTACTCCGTTTCCCACTGTTTTTAAAATACATCTCATTATGTCAGGGACAGTCTATTTGGTGCTAACGTCATCTTCTGTCAGTCCCTTGTCAACTGAGAAAGAGGCCTTCTGGTCCTAGTCATCAACTTGTAGTCAGAATAGGTAGAATCCATTACTGTTTTGTTCTCACTGTATTTTAATTTCGTTGTGACCTGTTGCTGCTGGTGATGCTGGTTTAACAATACAGGGATGGCAAATTTTACTTGCAAATAGATGTGTTTATGATTAGACCAGTTAATTTCAAAGACACCGTGAAGTCAATGATGGTGCAGGTAGTAAAAGGCTAAGGCAAAATGGCCAAGGTGGTATGAGAATGAGTTTAGGGAAACATCAGCTCTGACTCGGTGATTGAAGGTTTGTGCCCAGCACCATCCCAGACACTAGGGATGAATAAGCAGACAGAACCTCTGTGCTCATGGGGCCAGAGTGAAGGCTGCCAATGAGATAAGTAAATAAACAGCAGGTTACATGGTGACAGATCAGTAAGAGAACTGCAGGGCGTGAGGTTGGAAGTTGTAGACAGGGTAACCTGGGTGTGTAAATGCCTGAAGGAAAGGAAGGAGGGATCCAGCTATGCCAAGAGCTGGGGGAAGATCCTTCCAGGCAGCGCGAACCACCCGTGCCAGGGCCCCGGGCAGCATGTGTAGAGGCAGAGGGCTCATTTAGGAGGCAGTGGACGGAGATCACGTAGGGCCTGGTGGAACCGACCATCATAAAGGTGTTGCTTTCAATCTGAATGAGGTGGAAGCCATTGGACGGTTCCAAGCAAAGGGGGGTTGTGACTCCTATCTATTTCAACAGGATCCCTCTGGCTGCCATGTTGAGAACAGACTATAAAGACAGTATAAACACAAGTGAAACACAAGCTGTGAAAGTTACCTAGATGGTAGGAGAGGGTAGCTTGGATGAGGATGGCAAGAAACATTTGTCTCTTGGATTGTGGATGTACAGTGTTGTTTTTTTGTTTGTTTGTTTTTTTTCAACGTTTATTTATTTTTGGGACAGAGAGAGACAGAGCATGAACGGGCAAGGGGCAGAGAGAGAGGGAGACACAGAATCGGAAACAGGCTCCAGGCTCTGAGCCATCAGCCCACAGCCCGACGCAGGGCTCGAACTCACGGACCGCGAGATCGTGACCTGGCTGAAGTCGTACGCTCAACCGACTGCGCCACCCAGGCGCCCCAGTGTTGTTGTTTTTTTTTTATTTTTTTTAAGTTTTTATTTTTTACGGAGAGCATGAGCCGGGGAGGGAGAGAGAGAGGGAGACACAGAATCCGAAGCAGGCTCCAGGCTCTGAGCTGTCAGCACAGAGCCTGATGCGGGGCTCGAACTCATGAACTATGAGATCATGACCGGGGCTGAAGTCAGACGCCCAACTGACTGAGCCACCCAGGTGCCCGGATGCTCAGTGTTTTTAAGGGAAAGTTGATCAGATTCCATGGCAGATTGGATGTTATATATAAGGGAGAGGGAAAAAGAGCACAGATTAGTGGACTGGGTTAACAGCAGCTTTATCAGTCCAGTTGCTGAGCTGGCAGAGACCGTGAGGGAAGCTGACTTGGGCGTGAAGGGGTTCAGCTCAAGGCGTAAGCTGCCTGTGAGGCATTGAGGGGAAAGGGCAAGCAGGTCTGGGGTTCTAGGAAGAAGTCTGGGCCAGGAAGCCACACACTGTGGGTGGAACTCAAAAGGCACCAGGCTGGGTGAGGTCACCTAGGAGTGAGCAGAGAAGGAGATGAAGAGAGAACCAAGATGGCGCCCTGGGGCAGGCCAATGGCAGGCGGGCTTTGAGATGAGGTACCAGCAGAGGAGACCAGGAAAGACACCCAGAGGGGAGGAACAAACCCCGGTTTGGGTCGAGGAAGCTGCAGCTCGGTTGGGGAGGACTGAGGACTGACCATTAAGGTTTCGTGGTAAAGGGTAGCAGGGGGCAGGGGGCGTGGGGCTCAGAGGCTTTCTCAGCTCCTGGAATGACTTTGTTGACGTGAAAATGGTGAAAAGGAGAAGGGTAAGAATTTCTGGAGCGACGTCCTTGAGGGAACAAGAGAGGTAGGTGTACCTGATGTGATGCCCTTAGTTGGTGCTAGATAGTTCAGCCCGGGAACAGAGTAGAAGAAATGGACACAGCTGCGGGGAGGCGGGTTGACGGGGACATGAGAGCTTGTAAGGATGGGTGGGGATGGTAAGACTGGGGAGACAGTGAAAACCAGATGTCCAAGAGAGTGGAAGGGGGAGGGGAGTCAGGCCCAGGCAGCACCGAGTGAGGTCAGCTCCTTGTGGTGACAGACAAGGCCCAGCATGAAATGGCAGTGTGCCTGTTTGCTTTTCCCTGAGCAGAAGGTGGAAAGTCTGGTTTAACTCCCCAAGTGCATACCTCAAAGCAGGAGGGGTCTGGGGTGTTGAGGGTGTGTGCGAGGCGGACCGACCACCGAGCCTGGGCTTGATGGGCAAGTTAGAGCTAGTGTTAGGGCCCATGGGGTGGCAGGATCGCAGAGGAGACAAGACCAAGGACCCAAGAGACTGGATCACCCCCCTGGAGGGGTGTGGGTGAGTGTGGCAGGAAGCTTCGGGGCCCACGCCTTCTGGGAACCAGTGGAGGTGGGAAGGAGGCCTGAGGAGCAGGGGTGTCGCCTATCCAGCTTCGGGCCCAGAGGGACAGGGGCCCTGGTTAGGGCGGTGGTTCGAGACCCCCGGGCGACCGGGCGACCGCACCCCCCACCCAGGGAACTGAGCAACGGCTGGAGACATTTGCGGTTGTCACAATCCAGAGCATGCCATGCCCCATCCTGCAAACACAGGCCAGCTCCTGTGAGGCAGGATGATCCGGCCCCAAACAGCAGCAGGGATGGGAGACCCTGATTAGACCAAAGTGGTCAAGAGAAAGCCCAGAAAAGAGGTTCTGGAGAGAAGGGACCCTCACGGGCAATGCAGCAGTGAGGACAAGGATTGAGGAGACAGGGGGTGTGCCTCCCTCTCCTTCTCCTCGCCCAAGGGTGGGCTGGGAAGGGACGTGCATCATTAAAGAAATCACACGAGGGGGCGTTCGGGTGGCTCCGTCAGGTAAGTGTCGGACTTGTGATTTTGGCTCAGGCCACGAGCTCATGGTTTGTGAGATCAAGCCCCATATTGGGCTCTGTGCTGACAGCGCAGTGCCTGCTTGGGATGCTCTCTCCCCCTCGAACTGAGGGTCCGCTGCTCCAAGGCAGGGCCCTGGTGGATCTGCGGCCTGTTCATGTGCCTGGCACACAGTGGTGCCGCATAAGTGCTGGGGAGGGGGGAGAACCTGGAAAGGAACAGGGGGCAGCGGGGGGGGGGGGTGTCCTTTGCATCAGGAAAGAAACTCCCTGTGGGCACCCGAGGCCCGTGAGCCGTGAGCCTCACCTGAGCTTGCTCTTGAGCGCGTTCACCTCGCGGCCCATGGCTTCGTTGCTCTCCGTGGCTTCATCCAGCTCCCGCTGCAGCTTCCTGCGGTTGGCATTGATGCGCTGGGACTCCTCCTCCGCCTCCTCCAGCTGCCTCTTGAGTTGCTTGACCTTGGCATTTCCTTTCTCTGCCTGTCAGGGAGAGGCCCGGGGGTGAGCAGGGGGCACCGTGGGGTCCCTGTGGGGCTGGGAGAGGCCGGCGTCCCAGGTTACCTGCTCCTTGTACTGCTCCGCCATCTTGCGCTCGTCCTCCACCTGCAGCAGGACCTCCTTCAGCTTCTTGTCCTTCTGCTTCAGCGACTTGGTGGCCGCCTGCTTCTCTCTGCATACGGGGGGAGGAGGGGGGCGAAGCGGGGATGGGCTCCCTTGCACCTGGCACGTAGACCCGACCAGCCTCTCCCCGACTGTGAGCGCTTTCCCTGAGGGGCCCCAAGTCAGGGCTCACCCCCCAAATCAGACGAACAGTACTCGGCCTTAAAAAGGAACGCGGCACTTGCGTCTGCTACCACGTGGGCGAACCTCGAAGACACGGGGAGGGAGGCCAGTCACAGAAGGGCACAGACTGTGGGATTCCACTTATATGAAACATCCACAAGAGACAAGAGAGACAGAAAGTAGATCTGTGGTTGCAGAGGGCTGGGGGAGGTCAGGGTGATGGCCAGGGAGGTACAGGGTGTCCTACTGAGGTGTTGAAACTGTCCCACGCTGGACGGTACAGAGGGTGCAGCTATCCACAACTATACTAAAGGGCCATTGAGCAGTACACGTGAAAAGGCTGAATTTTTGTATGGTATGTGAGTTGGCAAGAAAGCCACTACCAAAAAAAAAAAAAAAAAAAAAAGTGGGTCAGAATCCTCGTAGTCTGATGGTCACAGATGGGCCGTGATCTTATTTTCTCTTTATAACGAGAAGCCTGACCATATTGGCACGTGCTGAATGGGGTTGCTGATCTGCACTTTCCTGGGTGGCCGTGAACACGACATCCTGAGAACACAGGCCAGGCATAGCCAGTGTGCTCGCGGGAAGGTAGCAGACCTCACGGAGGACCCCTGCCACTCAAGGCCGTTTGGGACGGGCCTTCTTGGGGCCGGGCCTGCCTCGCTCCCCTGATCACACGTGGTTCTCCACACACAGCTGCGGCGTGGGGACCACTGGGCTCATTCCACAGCCAGGACAGATGTCCAGAGAGCCTGAGCCCCGACCGCCGTGTACTCCTGGCCAGCAGGCCGCTCTTTGGAGCCCGCGCCCCACGTACCTGGCCTCCTGCTCCACCTGCTCCTCCAGCTGCGCGATCTTGGCCTCCAGTGCCGCAATGGTGGACTTGAACTTGGACCTGACGGCCCCCTCCATCTCTTGCAGCTTGCTTCGGAGCTCCTTGTTCTGCCGCTCGAGCTGCTGCCTTGCGCTCTCGTTCTTCTGGGCCGCGCTGCGCTCCGTGGCCAGTTCGTTGTTGAGCTGCTCGGCCTGTGGAGGGCAGTGAAGGTCAGGGGGTGGAGGGCATGGGAGTGGGAGTGGGGGTGGCGTCCACTGAGAGGACCCACTACGCCTGTGGCCTCCAGCCTTGGTGGGCTTCGATGTGGGTCGCTGGGGCAGGGGCACCCAGGAGCCCTCCCCACCTCCTCCAGCCACCAGTTCCTTCCTGGGCCTCCTTTAAGGTGCAGCACAAAAGGCAGCGTCCTGGGGCCACCCAGGCTCCCTGTCTCTAGGTCACAAGGCGGGGCCCCAGCACCTGTTGCGGAGCTGGTTCTTAGTAATGTCACTGAGTGCTCACTGGTGTAAGGCCGGGGCCAGAGGCTGGGGCGACAGCAAGAAGGAGACCCCCGAGGCCCTTTCTCCAGGCCCACGTTGTCTGCCGGAGGGAGCCAGACATACACTGGCTGCCTGATAAGATGGCGACGGGGGCCGCGTGCCCACGCGGGGAGGGAGAGGGTGCAGGGAGCAGATGCGCTTGACCCCTGCTCCCGTCTCCCCGCTCTCCACCCCAACCCTGAGCTTGCAGTGCAGCAGTGTGTGGCGTGTGACAGGGTGCAGCCTGGCTCTGCTCTGCCCCCACCTGCTGCGTGGCCTTCCGCACGCGGTCACTCATGGCCTCCATGTTGCCTTGCTCCTCCTCCAGCTCCTCTTCCAGCTGCGCGATCCGGGCCTCCAGGCGGCGCTTCTCGTCCTGAAGTGTGTTCCTAAGGGAAATGCAGGCGGGTCTGGGGCTCCAGCCTCCCTCTGGCTTAGGAAATAACCTCTGTGTGGAGGAGTGAGGTGATGCATTGGAGTCGCCCTCCTTTGTAAAAGGAAACTGAGGCCCAGTGAGGCTTAGACACTTGTCCAAAGTCACACAGCTGGGAAGTAGGGAGCCGGGACTCTATCCCGTTGGTATGGGCAAAGCCGGGCCTGGAGGAAAGACGAGCTCTCTCCTCTTGGATGTCTTCCCCCTCCCCCCGCCCCGTGTCCCCTCCCACCATGCTGTTCATTCAGAACCAATGAAACTGGCTACATGCCCAAATGGGGTCAAGACCCTTGTGAGAAGCTTGGCTGGACACTGTCATTTTCAGGAGTCTCTTCCATGAGCTGCCTCTCTGTCCTCATCTGAGCCTGGAACCCCCTTCTCCCGATGCGGCCCCCTACCTTCCTGAGACGCTGCTGGTCAGTTCCTCTGCCAGTTCCTCCTTCTCCAAGTCGGCCTGTTTGCGAGCCCTCTCAGCCGCGGCCAGATCCTGGACAGCACGGGGGAGGGGAGGGGGGAAACCGCTGATCTGCCAGGCAAGGGCTGAACCCCAGCGAGAAGCCATCTGCTTCAGACCCCAGCAGTTTCTATGGCCACGGCCACCCTGGAAAGCAGCTGAGCCGCCTCTGAGCTCAGGGGAGGCCCTGCATGTCCCGGACAGGAGAAAATCCCACGTCTGCCCCTGTCGTCACTCCAGGGGCCTGCCCCTGTGGAGTGCTGGACGAGGGAAAGAGGTGCGTGGGTGCCACGGGCTCCGCCCCCCGTCCCCCCCCCCCCCCCCCCACCAAGGCCTACATCGAGAAGGCTCTACCTCCTGTAGCTGCATGAGGTCGGCTTCTAAGCTCTTGGCTTTCTTCTCATTCTCTTTGGCGGTGGCAAAGATCTCATCTCTGGAGGCACGGGCATCTTCCAGCTCTCTCTGGAAGTCCTTCATCTGGGCCTGCGTGAATCAACAGGAGGGACAAGCCAAGAGGTCCTAACTCGGATCTTTCCACGCCAGCCCCGAGGAAGTTCAGATCAACCACAGAGAGGTCCCCATGGCCCACCCACCCCACCTCACGGGGCCAGGTTGCTGTCGGGGGGCACCCTTCGGAGGGGCTCAGCAGACCTCAACATGGCCATGTGGTCCGAGGACCATGGCCAAAGGCCTGGTGATTGTGCCTTACCCAGGGCGGGAAACGGCCCCCCGAGGCTGAACCCCGGTGGAAAACCCCAGCTGAATATTCAGGCACCCGTGACAGGCCTGCGTCCTGTGGCTGTTGGCCCGGCTTCTCCTCCGTTGAGGAGCCACCCCCTCCCTTGGCCCGTGCCCCGCATCCCCCACCTGCAGTTTCCGCAGCTGCTTGATGGCTTCCTCCCGGCCCTTGATGGCCGAGTCGGCCTGCAGCTCCAGGTCCTTCAGGTCCCCTTCCAGCTTCTTCTTGGCGGCCGTTGCCAGGGCACGTTGCTTTCTCTCGTCTTCCAGTTCTGTCTCGTACTCGTGCAGCTGAGCGAGGGGGAGAGGGGGGCGCTGCTGGGCCGGGCCGTCCCTCGGAGGCCCTACCCTCACCACGGCCGGCATTTGGAGAGCCCCCCCCAGGGGGGTCTGCTCGTCCCCAGGTTGCAGGCGGCTGAGAGAACCAAGTCTCTTTGGGTCCGGGCCCCGCCGCCTCCCCACCCCACATCCCCCCACCCGGACTACCTGCCTCTGGAGCTGCCGCCTCTTCTCTTCGTTCTGTTCATCCCGAGCCTGGAGGTCCCGCTCAAACTGGCCCTTGAGGGCCTGCATGTTGACCTCGAGCCGCAGCTTGGCGTCCTCCGTGGCCTGCAGCTCGTCCTCCAGCTCCTCCAGCTGGGTCTTCATCTCCTCCATCTGGGTCTCCAGGGCCCGCTTGGACTTCTCCAGCTCGTGGACCTTTCACGGGAGGGGAGACTTCATGAAGACGCTCAGGCAACCCGCGGGGACAGGCAGCTCTGTGAGGTCACACAGATGGCTTTTGCCCCCCCGCGGGATGCAGGGCCAAGAGTCAAGGCCAGAGTCTTCCTTGGGGACCCCCCCCCCAAGTGCTGTTTCCAACCAGTCCCCGTCTGCGTGACGGCCTTCAGTCCTGATGGTCCTGTCCCGTGGAAGAGGCTCAGGGTGCCCGCGTCCCGCCCCGTGGGTAATGCATAGTGGGGAGGGGGCTGGTGACCTGTGGACAGGCACAGACAGGGAGGAGCCACTTACGTTCTTGCCCACGTCATCCTTGGAGCTGACCAGGCCCTCCATCTCGGCCTTGAGCATTTTGTTGGCTCTCTCGAGGTCCTCTTTGGCTTCCAGGGCCTCTTCGAGGGCTCGCGCCAGCGACAAGGCCTTGGTTTCCTTTTCCCTGGCTTCTGCCTCGGCTCTGTCCCTTTCATCCGCGTATTTGGAAGAGATGCTCTTCTCCTCGGCTAACAACTACAACACAACGGAAGCCCAGCCCCGGAGGTGAAGTTCGACTTCCCCCCCTTTTTTTTTTTTTTAAATAACTTTAACTTTATTCATTTTGAGAGACAGAGAAAGCATAAGCAGGGAGGGGCAGAGAGAGAGAGGGAGAGAGAGAGAATCTGAAGCAGGCTGCGCACCGTCAGCTCAGAGCCCGACGACGCGGAGCTCGAACCCACAAACCTAGAGATCATGACCTGAGCCAAAACCAAGAGTCTGACGCTCAGCCGCTTAGCCCAATGAGCCACCCAGGCTCCCTTTCAATTGCAAATCAGCGCAAGCAGCCTCCTGCCTGAACTTCTTCAGAGGCGGTGGAAGTCATTAAGGCATCTATGCAAATAGTTAATGAAGAGCTTCCTTCTGACTTCCAGTAGGTGGACCTTACTCAGAGCCAGCACCTGCTGAGTCTTTGTGCTTTGAAATCACTAATGCTGCCCGTGCTGGTTGGAACATACTACTAGTGAGGTCACAGTGACATTTAATCCTGCCAGAGGCCACTAATTCTTTTTATCATGGCCACTCATCTCCAGCCCTCAAAAGCACTCTCTGAGCCAGAGTAGGGAAAGGGTGAGGGTGTGGACAGAGCAGCACATACTTAGCTCTGTGCTTGGAGAGGCAGTTCAAGGAACACTCCAGACCGACGTTAATGTCATCCGCACAGACAGCGGCATAAGCGTATACACGGACCCATCCAAAAACCAGGCTTTGAGAAGTGAGCGAAGACAGGTAAGTAATAGGGGCCCCCAAAACAGCAGTCAGCACAAAACCCTACGTGATGTGTGACAGGGAAAGAAAAGAAGCGAGCCCAGGCCCTCAAGCCAATAATGGGGCAGCATAGTGGAAGCAGTGAAGACAGGCTGGCCGCCTGAGATGGAGAAGGACAGAGCCAGGGTGACGCCTGGAAGCCTGCTCCTCTGAGCCCAGGCGGGGAGGGGCAGTGAGCCCCCACACCCCTGGCATTGGCCTCCCAAAACAATCCCCAGATTGATTTTGAGGATCATCCCAAGTCACTTGCACACCAAATCAGCTTTGCTAAATCTGAGTAGCGTATTAAAAGTGGGCATTTTTTAAGGGTTTGGGCCACATGGGTGTATTATGCATTTACCAGAACTCCAGTGAGTGGATACTTGAGATTTGTGCATTTGCATGTATACACAAGAAGCAAAATTTTCTGTTAAAGAAGAACTCCAGTTAAGACACAGAGTGCTGAAGTATAGAGGGGGAAATCTGCCATTTGCTTTGAAATGCATCCAGTGACAGAGACAGTTCATCCAAATTTGGTAAAACATTAATGATCCAATCCACGTGGTGGGTATACAGGTGTTCACGCTTCGGTGCTTCAGCTTTGCTGTGTGCGTGAAATTCTTCATCATGAAATGTCGGGGGAAGTGGTATCGAAAGGTGGAACATTAAATTATGTGGAGTATTCAGGAGACACTCGATAAATACTTGTTGAGTGAAGTGAAATAAATTTCCTTCCTTCTCAGGGCTAGAAACTAAGGCATCCCTGGGGTCGCAGGTGGCCCTGGTGCTGGGGATATCTGGAAGTCACGTCCAAGAGCCAGTGCTCTCCTCACTCTGACCTAGGAGCCCCGATGCTTCATGGTCACCCAAGGCAAGCTAGCTTTCCTTGGGAGGATGGGTGGGAGACACATACATGGCAGCCACACCAGCTGCTTCAAAGACCCTCCCGCCCCAGCCCGTGGCCGTGAACAGAGCCGACGGCCCTCCAGCCCCTACCTGATCAAACTTCTTCTGCTTCTTTTCCAGGTTGGACACCAGTTGCCGCTGGTTGTCCAAATCGACGACCAGGTCGTCCAGCTCCTGCTGAAGCCTGTTCTTGGTCTTTTCCAGTTTGTCATAAGCAGCTGCCTTCTCTTCGTACTGCTGGGTGAGGCCTTCGATTTCCTTCTGGAACCGCTTCTTGCCCTCTTCCAAGGCCTCCACGGTGCTGGCAAAGTCCTGTAGCTTCTTCTTCGAATCGGAGAGCTAAAATGACAGTGTCCGGGTTGGGGTAGAAGGAGGGCCAATGAGCGAGTCCCATCCCTGACTCCACCCTGAGAAGAGACCACCTTCTCCTCCTGGAGGAAATTCAACAGCAGGGGGAGCCAGTGAGCCAAACAAAATGGCGCCAACACTCAACCACAGCCTCTCCGAGCTCCTGAGCTACCCTTCAAGGCTTACACCTAGAAAGGCAAGGACACACGGCCAGCACCTGGATGTTCAGAGTTGAGATGTGGCGCTCCAGGTTCTGCTTGGCGTCTATCTCCTCGTCCAGCTGGTCCTGCAGGCTGTTCCTCTCGTCCTCCAGCTGGCGCAACTTGGTGGACACATTGAGTTTCTGCCGGGTTTCTTCTTGAAGCAGCTCCTACGAAATGCCATGTGGAAGTCTCAGGGAGCCACCCCCAGGAAGTCCACACCCCAGCTCCCTCTGAATCACGTGGCAGAATACCCACCTGGGTGTCCTGGAGCTGGGACCCAAGGGATGCCACATCCTTGGCCAGTTTTATGGCCTTCCCCTCAGCCTCGTTGAGCATCCCTGTGACACTCTCCACTTCATTCTGAGGGTGCCAAGAGACTGTGGTTAGAGCCCTCTAGAACAGGATCCTTATTAAGTAAGAGAAGGTCTCTCGACTCACATGATAGGCCTCGTTGTATTCACTGATTAAGAAATAGCCATGGGCTATGGGGCCTGATCATGGTAACCCCATGGCCCCCAAGGGAAGTGTAGCCCCTATAAGTTGGGAGGCCTGGCTCTAAGAACCTCTTTGAGCCCCAGACTGTATTGGCTTGTTCCTGATCCTACTAAATGGACCCTGAATCCTTGCCAAGGTTGGCAAAAATGAAGCAGCAGGTTAGAGAGTCTAGACAACTCGCCTGCTCCCTGAAGTCGGAGGGGGATGCAGATGGCACCTTTACTTCCAAAGGCCCTGTTCCCACCACCCTCTTCCTCGCCTCTACTCTTTGCCCTTTCATTGACCTTCATGCCCCAACCAGAGATGCAGACACTAAAGGTAAGAAGCCCTCTACTGAGGTATCAGTCAACCGTCCACCCTCTCCCCCTTACGAGGAGAACGTAAATCATCTTGACTCTACGTCTCCAGGACACTGCCTGTGTTACGGTAGCAGAACCCCTGCTGTCAACGGCATGTGGAAAGAAATCCTACTTAATGCTCCCCCTGCCCTCTGGTCCCAGGCTGTAAGCACACTGATTTATCAAAAGTCTGCCTGGATCCCATGAATGGACGTCAGGCCAAGTGTCTAAGTCAAAGCTAACTAAGACCAAAGACCGAGAGACCTTGTCACTGCTCAGGTCAAAACCCATCAATGACGACTAGTCGCACGGAATAAAGATGAATGTACATAGAATAGGGCCTCGAAGGCCCTGTGTCATCTGGCCACAACCTACCTCCCTCGTCCCATCTTGTACCATGTTTCCCCTGCCAGCTCAGCTTTCTGGCGTCACTTATGTGGTCTCTTCTGATTTCCCACCAACCACTGGGCCCTTGCACATGCTGTCCCCTCTGCCTGGTAGACTTCTACTTATCTCAGATGATACCTCCTTCTTCGGGAAGCCTTTCCCGACTCCTCCTCCCGCCGGCCAGACCCCGCCCCCCCAACCCCCCGCCCCAGTTACGTACAGTGTCATTTTACACTCACTCATGGAATTTTAAACGCCTTTCCCTCCACTAGGTCACAGTTCTATGGGGGCGGGGAATGTGTCTTTCTTGCTGATGTATCTCAGGGTCAAACATGGTGCATGGTCTACAGCAAATACTCATACACTTGTTAAAGGAGCAGAAGGCGGCCTTTCAAGAGTGAATTGAGGAGGGAGAAGCCCTCCTCTCCTCGAGGGACCTTACAAGAGGGAACCAACTTGCTCTGCAGCCAAAGACTTCAGTTAGCCGGGGAGAGCTTCGTCCCCACCCGCCCCAGGGATGGCTCCAAGGGCCGCTGGCCGTGCAGGCCGCTCACCTGCAGCTTGTGGACCTTGTCATTGAGCTCGGCCCGGGCCCGCTCCCCATCGCTGCACTTGGACTGCAGTTCCTGGAGCTGCACCTCCAGCTTCTTCTTCTTGTGCTCCACCTCCTGCTTCGCCTGGTTCAGGACCCGCAGCTCCCCGGCCAGGTCTGCGTTCTCCTTCTCCAGCGTCTGCTTGTTCTTGTCTAGGTTGGCCTTGGCCTGGCCGGGGAAGCACAGGGCAGGGAAGGCATTACAGCTGTGGCCAGGAAAGCGGGTTAAGAACCTAACTCTGTCACTGGTGGATCTTCCTCCTTCCCTTCCCCTCCGGTCAGGGAGGTGCAGGGACCCGTGCTTGTCCCCTCTGGGGAGAAACGCAGCAGCGCGGGGGACACACGGTCACGGTGAGACATTTTGCATTCTGTTCTGCTAAAGCTCAAAGGTTGCAAACCAGCATTCCACAAGCTACATCCAGCCTGTCGTCATGTCCCGATAGACCTATTCTTTGTTGCCAACATTTAATAAAGAAAAAATAAAACTGTATTCCAGCATCATTTAAAAAAAATGTAGTGTTGTGGGGCGCCTGGGTGGGTCAGTCGGTTAAGCTTCCGACTCTTGGTTTCTTTCGGCTAAGATGCTGATCTCGTGGTTAGGGAGTTCGAGCCCCACATCCGGCTCCGCGCTGACAGCTCAGAGCCTGCTGGGGATTCTCACTCTCTCTCTCTCTCTCAAAATAAGTTAAAAAATTTTTTTAAATAAAAAATCTAGTGTTCTCTATCATGACAGGTGGTGGTTACACAAATGCGTACGTTTGTCGAAATTAGTTGAACTATACAGTTAAAACTGATGAGTCTTACTGCACAGACCTCAATAATTCTGATTTTCAAGAAACAAGCTAGGGGCGTCTGGATGGCTCAGTCACTTAAGTGTCCAATTCTAGATTTCGGCTCGGGTCACGATCTCACATTTCAGGGGATTGAGCCCCGCCTTGGGCTCTGGGCTAATAGCACGGAGCCTGCTAGGGATGCTCTCTATGCCCCTTCCTATCTCTATCTCTCCATCTCTAAACAAACAAAAAAACCCAAGCTAAACACAAACATCCTCAGTGGGGAAGAAGTGAGAGCTTTTCCCCTAGGATCAGGAACAAGAAGGGTCTCACTCTCACCACATTTACCCAGCATAGCACCGTAAGAGAAAATGTATGTTGTGTAGTGACAATTAGCAAATCTTATTTGTCCAAAGAAGTGACACAGTGTTCAACATTAGTATTCAGCTCCCACTTAACAAGAGTCCTTTTACTCACCTGGAAGGTACGGGGGGCTCAGTCTTGCCCTGCACTTTTCAGACACTGGGCCTAAGACCCCCCTGTAGGAGGGTGGAAGACAGGGCCCGGACATCTGCATTTTAACAAAGGCCCCAGATGAAATGAACTCGTGTCTGGAAAGCATTGGAACAGTATCAGGCACATGGTCAGTGCTACCTAAGAGACTGTTGCCACTGTTCTCTTGTACAGGAAAATTGGAGCTTCTTCTAGAAGAGGCGGAAAGGCGCTCAGTAAACCCCTTCAGGGAAGAAGAGTGACCTTGGCTGGCGAGAGAAACAAACCCAAACTGCCCACAATTTTTAGGTAATGCTGTGCCCATTTAGTCTAGCTTGGGGGGGGGGGTGGATATCTAGAAAGGGCAGGGATCGGGGGAGCCATAGTGCTGAGGGGGATGCAATCAGATCTTTAGGGACACCATCCGGATGTCGCAAGCTAAACAGCTCACCCCTGGGAAGGGAAACACAAGGAAATTCTCCCAAGGGAGAAGAAGTTTTGGGTGTGAAGCATTCAGACTCGGGCTACTTAACTGCCTCGAATCCCACACACCCCAGATAGCCAAGCACGAGGGAAAAGAACGACTAAATCCAGTCATTCTCAAACTCTGCCGGAGAGCGAGCTGTTTTCCTCCAACCTGCAGGGAAATTAAGACGGAAAGAATGTTCTCCATCTTAAGCGACCCAGAAGTTGTTCTCAACTGTGGCTAAGCAACGGGGGCGGAGGGCAGGGTGTTGTAGACCCTGCCCTGGAGTGGGCAGGAGGTAGGCAGGCAGCTGCACTGCCTGGGTTCAAATCATGGCTTTGTCACTAGCTTTGTGACCTTGGGTGAGTCTCCTCACCTCTAGACACTCTTTTTTTTTAATGTTTATTTTTGAGAGAGAAAGAGCATGAGTGGAGGAGGGGCAGAGAGAGAGGGAGACACAGAATCCGAAGCAGGCTCCAGGCTGTGAGCTGTCAGCACAGAGCCTGACGTGGGGCTTGAACCCACGAACCATGAAATCACGACCTGAGCTAAAGTTGGATGCTCAACCGACTGAGCCACCCAGGCGCCCCCACCTCTAGACACTCTTGACCTCAGTTCCTTCGTGCGTAAAATGGGCTCGAGTACCTACGTCATAGGTGGATGTGAGGATTAACGGATACGTGCACGGCGCACCCTGAATAAATGCTGGCTGCCACCACTGTCATGAGGCTCTTGTGTGGTGTAGGATTCGTCTCAGCACACACCCTGATACATGGTTACGTGAAGCTGTCGGCATGATGCTGTCTCACACGTGCGCGCGCGCACACACACACACACACACACATGAATCACCACTTACCCTCTTGAACTGCTCCAACTGCTCGGTGAGTTCCTCCACCGCCTGTGTGTGCTTCTGTCTCATCTCCTGGACCTGCGCCTCGTGGGACCGGGTCTCCTCGTCCAGGGCCTTCTTCAGCACCGTCACCTCTTGTTCCCTCTTGGCCCTGGGCAGGAAGAACACGGTGGATGGCAGTCGGCCGGAAACAGGGGTTCACCTCCGACAGTGCCATGCAAAGCAACAAGAGATCTCCGGGAACCCAGAGCTGAAGTCCCCATCATCAGCCCTCCCTGGCTGTGTGACCTCGGCTGAGTCCCCTAACCTCTCTGGACCCGGCATTTCCTCAGCGGCAAAGTAAAGAGCATGTCACCTGCCCAGAAACTCTCAAGGCCAGCACAAAAATACACCAAAGGCCAATACACTCTCAAGGCCAGCAAATAAATACACAGAATACTCAAAATCGTGTTGAAAGAACATCTGTGAATTACAAAATGTTCCTCAAATAATGTTAGCTCTTACTTATTGAGCTTACTTATTATATGCCAGGCCTTGACCTAACTTCTTTTTTTTTTTTTTAATGTTTGTTTATTTTTGAGAGAGACAGGAAGCACAAGGGGGCGGGGGACAGAGAGAGAGGGAGACAGAGAATCCGAAGCAGGCTCCAGGCTCCAAGCTGTCAGCACAGAGCCCAACACGGGGCTGGAACTCACAAACGGCAAGATCATGACCTGAGTGGAAGTTGGACGCTCAACCGACTGAGCCACCTGGGTGCCCTGACCTAAGTTCTTTATAGACATCATCTCGTATAATCTTCAGAGTGACCCTTAGAGGGAGATACATTAATTTTTCCAGTTTACAGAGGAGAAATCTAAGGCCAAGAGATTCTTAGCCCGTGTTGGTACATCCACTGTGTCATAGAGCCAAAATCTGAACCCAAATGATCTGGCTTTGAGCTCGTGCATTTGAAGACTGCACCAAGGGCTTTTCTGTGTCATTGGCCAGGTGGGAAGGGGGCAGAAAACTGCTGGCTTCTAGGCCCAGGTGACAGGTGTGGCACAAAACCTGAAGTGCGGGACATCAACCTCAGAGTTAGCACAGCACCTGATAAAGGATGCACTCAAAATCCATTTGCATGTTTGTTGAATGAATAAGTGACCTACTTTCATTGAACTCAGCATTCATTATCCAACAAGTCATCTGTTTCTGTTCTGGGTTTTTTGGTTTCTTTGTTTTGGGGTGTTTTTGTTGTAGTTGTTGCTGGTGTCTGTTAGCCCGTACCAAATCTTAAGGACAAATCCAACAAATGTTATTTTAAAAATGTATCACAGGGGTGCCTGGGTGGCTCAGTTGGTTGAGCTTCGGACTCCTGATTTTGGCTCAGGTCATGATCTCCCAGCTCGTGAGTATGAGACCTGCATCGAGCTCCACACTCACAGTGCAGAGCCTGCTTGGGATTCCCTCTCTCTCTCTCTCTCTCTCTCTCTCTCTGCGCCCCTCCACTGCTCTCGCACTCTCTCTCAAAATAAATAAATAAACAAAAAAACCCAAGGCGGTAACCGTAGGGCCCAAGGAACCCTGTCATTCAGGATCCGCTCTGGGTTTGCCCCTGTTCCACCTGATGCACGCGGCGGGGTGGGGGCGGCTCTGCGGCCGGTCTCCCACCTGAGCTCCTGCTGGGTGGCCGTGCTGTCCAGCGTGTCCTCCAGCTCTGTCTTGAGCGCCTCCAGCTCCTCCCCCAGGTCCCGCTTCTGCTTCTCGGCCTTGTTTCTCGCGGCCCGTTCTGAGTCCAAGTCCTCCTGCAGGTCTGAGATGTGACTCTCCAGCTCCCGGATCTTCTTGAGAGCGTTGTTCTTCTGAGCGATTTCATCGTCCAGCCTGCCAGCGACAGACCAGCATGGTGAAGGCCCTGGGGTCTCTGGCCCCTGAGATCTCACGGCGTGGCCAAAAATTGTTTCCAGGGACCAGATAACCCTGTTCCTTGGATATCAAAAGCATGTTCCCCCCCATGTCCCCGAGACATGGTGGACCCCTTCCTGCTAGGTTGGACTGCGTGCACATTAGGACTCATCTGCGGTCCACAAACAGTGGTGTGTGTGTGTGTGTGTGTGTGTGTGTGTGCAGAGCATGGCCCCAGACTAGCAAGGCACCTAGTACACAGCAGGTGCTTAACAGATGCTTTGTAAACATCGGACAATTATTTCTCCCTAGCAACTACTCGTTTTCCTTTCTCCTCTTTGCTCTAACAGTGGCTGAGTGCCTGCTCCATGTGAAGCACGTGACCAGGTATTGCTCGGGGAGGTATTTAAACCAGGGCCCCCAGTGTGGGGGAGGCAGCAACTGTGGGTCAAGGTGGGACGGGAGAAGCCTCGTCCAAATGGCCGGGAGCACATGAGGACTTTCATGGAAGGCAGCTCCCTCCTGACGCACGGTGGAGCCGAGCTCTTGTTTTGCCGTGGTGGATGGAAAGGGAAAAGCGTGAAGAGAGGGCACAGAGGCAAGATTGCACAGGGCAGGGGGGAGGTGAGATGGTAGTGAGCTTGGGAATGGGGAGCAGTTAAGAGAGAAAGCTAGATGGTCGGCTGGGTCCGGCTGTACGTGGCGGTGGGGGGACGGGGAGGGGGCCTCTGAGCACCAGGCTAAGGAAGCCGGCCTTCCCTGCACAAGCCAGCATGGGTCTACGCCCCAGGTGATGTTTGCGGTTCATCGCCCTCGCGCCCCCCCGCAGCCCACGCTGGAAGAGATAGACCTGGCCAGGGGATCAGTGAGAAAGTTCTGGGGCTTTCACCCCAGCCCCGCCTCCACAAGACTGTGTGACAATCACGCGTTCCTTCACGTCCCCAAGCACGGCTTCCTGCTCAGTGACGTGGAGATCACAGCAGCGTACCGGCCAGGTGTGAAAGAACAAACCGTCTGGAAAGAGCCCGGCACGCAGCGAACAGGAAACCAACCCTTAGCTGGGGCTGCAAGATTCCCAGTATGAGGCATGAACCCAGCCAGGAGCTGGGAGAAGGGCAAACAGGGAATGGGGTCGCCACCCCTTCCAAAGGACTGGCGGGATCTGGGGGCTGCTGCAGCCCGGGGGCGGGGGGAGAGCGGTGGGCAAAAGTCGGGGGAGACGGGCGTTCACGGCAAGGGCCCTACGAGGGAGGAGCAGGAGGCTCATCCCGGCCTCGGACATGCCGGTGGAATGGACTCCATGGGCAACTAGAGATGACAGAGGCCTGGAGGTCTGAGGGGCAGACGCGGCGGGAGGAGGGGACACACAGAGACAGGATGGGCTTGGCGGGGACAGAAGAAAGTCAGTGGCACCGTTGTGGAAGTACAAGCAGGGCAGGGGAGGCACCCGGGAGGACGGAGGCCTGCCTGGAGGAGGAGGAAGACGGGGCCCACTGTGGCCCCCCGGGACACATGAACACAGGACGTCAGGATGCACCCCCCGCAGGCCAGGCTACCTGCTCAGGGCGGCCTGCAGCTCCTCCTCCTTCTTGGCCAGCTGCATCTTGAGCTCCGCGATCTGTGCCTGCAGGTCCGCTATCTGCTCGTGGAAGTCACTGGCCTCGCCCTCGAGCTTCCTCTTCAGCTTCTCCAGCTCCTGCCGACTCTTCTCCTCCTTCTTCAGCCGCACTGTGACAAAGCCAGGGGCCCCCTCAGGAGGCGGCAGCTACCAGAAAGGCGCCCGGAGGACAAGCCTTTCTGCTCGGGCAGTTCGCACGCACGCACACACACACACACACACACACACACGCACGCACGCACCCGGCCCTACAGGTAACTGTCACGGCCCAGACTGCTATCTTGTAGCAAGAAAGTCAGTGCTGATGAAAAGCGCCTTGACGATTACTGGCGTATTGGCCGCGGGAGCCTGGGGAGGGTTGCACCTCTCCTGAAACAACGTGCCACACTCAGATCTGCTCTCTGATCTTCCCAGCTTTACCACGTCCATTTGAAACCCTGTTGGGGGTGGCTGGGTTACCTTCCAGTTCTGAAATCATAGATTCGTGCTTGTTTTTTAGCTTGGTAAGGTTCTTGGCCTTTTCCTCCTCTTCTGCAAGATTTGTGGTTAAGTCACTAATCCTCTCTTCGAGGAGTTTTCGCTCCTTTTTGGGAAAAGAAAGAGAAATATCGGTGGCTTTTTTTGTTTCTCTTCTGCAAGACGGGCCTTTCACTTTTAATAATTTCCAGGTCAACAGTTGGCAGGGAACCCCCCATGACTACCAAGTGCCACGTCGAGGTTTAAAATGATAAAGAGAAGTTCCTTAACAGTAATTCCCTATAACCCAGTCACTTCTCATCTCGTGGGACCTCTGCCCCTCCTACTTCATGTTCCGGGCAGGCGTGCCCTCTTCCCTTATGAGCACATGTCAGCTGTTCTCTGCCACAGGGACTATGCACAGATAGGACTATCTGTTGAGCTGTTCCTCCACTCCCCTTCCAGCCTCTCTTCATCTGTCAGGTTCCCACTTTGATGCCGCTTCCTCCAGGAAGCCTTCCCTGAATGCCTGGTTTCCATCCCTCAGTGCTTATTTTTACAATATGATGAACCTCCTTCAGAAGCCTGACTGTGATGGTCATTAATGGTTAGGTGTATGATTATCTATTTTCTGCCTCACTAGAGTATGAGCCCTGCCAGGGCAGCGCCCTCCTTCACCATATAGGCCCTGCGCCCAAAACAGGGCCTGGCTCATGGCAGGTGGCCAGCTGACATCTAGCTCAAAGAACTAAAGGGAGCCCAAACTCGGTGGGGCTGGGGAGTGGTTATTGCCTAGGGGGGGCCTGCACACTGCAGTTTACATGGGGACTTTTGGGCACTGCAAGTCCCCATCCCAGAAAGCCCTCAGTCCCAGACGAAGCAGGACAACCGGTCACCCTATTACGGACTGGAAGCAGTCCATGAGAATGAGGGAGAGGCCCCCAAGAGTCAGGCACACGTGGCTGCCTTTGCACACCCAGGGGGGCTCCACTGGCATGGAGTTTCTGAGACCCGGTGCTGGTGGGACCACTGGGGACCCCGTCCATGGCCCGCCGGTATCTGGATGGCAGTCAGGAGGCCGCCTCCCGCTGCCAAAGCCAGAGCCCTCTGCGTGGCCTCCGGCGTCTTGTATTTGGCCCGAAGGGGCAAGTATCCGGAGCCCTCGGCCCCGCGGAGCCTGCCGTGTTAACGCAGACGCTGGCCCCACTCACTTTGGACAGCTTGTTGTTCTGATCATCCATGACCAGAATATCGTCCTCCAGTTTCTTGATCTTGGCCTCGGCTGTGACCTTCTCGAGCTGTAACTTCTGCCTCGCAGCTTCCTCCTCCTCCAGCTGCTCCTCCAGGTCCTTGGTGGGGGAAGGGGAAAAAAAATCACAGCCTCGCTCACCCTAGAGTCCCTTCCTCAGAGCTCTGGGGACTGACCCACCCAGAGGCTGGGCCTCCTCGCCCCTGTGCTCTGCGGTCTCCTTTTACTGGAAATACAAGTTTTGGGAAACCACTTGGCTTCACGGGGCCTCAGTTTTCCCCGTCCGTCAAACGGGAACAGTAGATACCGTGGCCGTTTCAAACTATGTCCACAAATTCTTTGGTCCTCTCCCCTTCAGCGTGGGCCGGACTTAGCAAAGTGGTTCCAACAGATAAAATCGGGAAGAAGCCGTGGAGTGTAACGCCCGACATTAGGCTCTACGAGGCACTGTGCTCTCCTCTCCGCTTCCCTCTCCGGATGCACCCCTCCTTGCAGGGGAGCCAGCTGCTCTGCAGTGAGGACCCTCCGGCAGCCCCAGGGAGCAGCCCCCAGGTGAGGGACGGAAGCCTCCTGCTGACAGCCACGGAGTGAGCCTCATGGATGGAGGGGGTGGGGGGGTTCTCCAGCCCTGGGCTCCCGTCCCAAGTGCAGCCTCGTGACAGACCCTGAGCCAGAACCTCCCGGCCGGGCCGCTCGTAGACCCCTGACCCTGTGACACAACGGCTGCTAAGTTCTGGGGGGCTTCCTCCCGCAGCGATGGCTAACTGATGCGCCTGCCCCTCACGTGGGGTTGTGCCTGAGAAGGTTTTCATGGGCGGAGTGCCGGGCGGAAGAGAGTGGGGGGGCCTGCCTTCAAGTCCCCACCCTGGCCATGTGGCCTCGGGCAGACGGCCATTCCTCTCCAACCCCCGGTCCCCACACCTGGCCAACGGGGACACGCGGGACCCTGCGGTGAGGGCCAAGCGATTTGGCCCCCCCGCCGCGGGCGGCCCCCACGGGGCCTTACCAGCATCTGCTGGGCCATCTTCTTCTTCTCGGCCTGCAGCTGTTGGCCCCGGTCTTCCTCCTCCTCCAGGCGGGCCTCCATCTCGTGCAGGATCTCCTCCAGCTCCTGCTTCTTAGCCGCCAGGCGCACCCGCATCTCCTCGGCCTCGGCGTACAGCTCCGTCTCGGCCTGCAGCTGCTCCTGGAGCAGGCTCTTCTCCTCGGCCAGCTGCCCGCGGGGAGAAGGCAGGCGGCGGCTGAGCCCCGTGGGGGCGCGCCCGGCCGGCCGCCCGCAGCCCCAGACGCGCCCTGCCCGCTACCTGCGTGTGCCTCTGCTCCAGCTCCTTGAGCTCGCTCTCCGCCTTCTTCTGCAGCTCCTTGGTCTTCTGCAGCTCGTCCTCCTTGGCCTGCATCTCCTCCTCCTGCCGCGTCACCTGCAGCAGCGGCTTCACCTGCGCGCACGCGGGCACGCGTGAGCTGCGCTCAGCACACGAGGGACGGGCTCCCGTCGCGACCGAGATCGCGCTCCGCCACCAGGGGCGGGCGTACCCCGGCCTGCACCCCCCCCGGGGGGGACCCCCGGGAACTCCCGGGGACCCCGGCGACAACTAGCGCGCAGAGATCTGGGACGCCGCCGCATGTTCTAGAACGCACGGGGACGACCGCCAGAACACAAGACGGTCCATCCCCGGACACCCACGGTGCCGAGGCTGGGAAACCATCAACTAGGGCAACCGAGAAAGGCACCGAGCGTCAAGGAAAAAGTCTCCCCTTCTCCCATGCAGTCCCTGCCCAGAGAACGTTACTGCGGACAAACCAACATGTTTCCTTCCGAGGGGAAAATGAGAAAAAAGAAAAAAAATCTCCCACATCCTACCCCCCCATCAAGGTCGTTACGGGCGTTATCGGCACTTCCCGCCAGCCTTTTACCAAATACACCCTAGATCATGCTGCCCAATTTTATATGCTGCTTCCATTACTTTAAACTGTAAGGTGGTTATTATTATTATTATTACCCCATGCCCTTCTATCATCTTGACAACTTTCTTTTCTGATAGCTGTCATTTTTGTCGAACACAAGTGGTGAGGGGCACCTGGGTAGCTTAGTCAATTAAGTGTGCAACTCTTGATATGGGCTCAGGTCATGATCTCACGGTTTGTGGTTTCGAGCCCCACGTTGGGCTCTGCATTGACAGTGTGGAGCCAGCTTGGGATTCTGTGTCTCCCTCCCTTTCTGCCGCTCCCTTGCTCATGTGCACTCTCTTTTTCTCCCTCAAAAATACGTAAAGAAACATTAAAAAAAAAAAAAAAGTGGGAGGGCGCCTGGGTGGCTCAGTCTGTTGAGTATCTGACTTTGGTTCAGGTCACAATCTCACAGTTGGTGAGTTTAAGCCCTGCATTGGGCTCTGTGCTGATAGCTCAGAGCCTGGAGCCTGCTTGGGATTCTGTGTCCCTCTCTCTCTCTGCCCCTCCCCCACGGGAGCTCTGTCTCTCTCTCTCTCAAAAATAAACACTAAAAAAAAAAGTGGTGAGAGAGGACATCCTTGTATCATTCCTGACCTTAGGGGAAAGCTCTCAGGTTTTCTCCATCAAGTATGATGTTCACGGAGGGTTTTTCATATAAGGCCTTCATTATATTGAGGTATGTTCCCTCCAACCCTACTTTGTCGAGGGTTTTTAGACAGCCATCATTTTTAAGAGTTAAAAATATTCTATTGAATTAATGAGTCTGCTGGGGCTGGACACTGGCATTTTGCTATTTTAAAGTTTCTTTTTAAAATTTATTTATTTATTTTGAGAGAGACAGAGACAGCATGAGTGGGGGAGGGGCAGAGACAGAGAGAGAGAGAGAGAATCCCAAGCAGGCCCTTCACTCTCAGCACAGAGCCTGATGTGGGACTCGAACCCACAAAACTGTGAGATTATGACATGAGCTGAAAGCAAGAATAGGACGCTTAACCAACAGCGCCACCCGGGTGCCCTGACATTTTGCTATTTTAACAAGGCCATAACAAATACCCTGAATTTCTGGTTTTATTTCAGATGGCTTCCTTAGGACAGTGTTTCAGAAGTCAGGTCAATGAAGATGAACCTTTCCAAGAAGAAGCTTCCCCTTCCTGTTCTTCCCTAGGCTGACTCCTGACTCCTTGTGTTCAAGCCCTCACCTGGCCCCAGGGAATCCCGTTGTGTAGACTTTGGCTCCTTCCCTCCACTTATCCCACTTCACCTTTAGGTATTTATTTCCGTGTTTATCTGCTCCCTGTCTGCTCGCCCACTCAACTAGAACATTCATGAGACCAGAGCCCATGATGTCTCTTCCCCCCTGCGGTACCCCCAACACCTCGCACATGCCTGGAACACAACGGGAGCTCGATCAATATTGCTCGACGAAAAAGCTTTGTGCCAATTTTCTCACTCAAGGGCACGTAAGAGGAGGCTGTGTCTGTCACACACTGTCTGTCACCACTTGGCACAACCGTTTGTGACAGCTAGTGACCCGGCAAGAACAAGTTTTGTCCCCAGAGGAGCACACAGTGGATACCCCAACAACCTGGAAGGATCTCCAGGGGAGGGTGCTTTGTGAAAAAGCCAGTCCCCACGATGACATACCGGAGGGCTCCATTTATGTAACGTTCTAGAAATGGCCACATCACGGTAACGGAAAACGGATGAGCGCTGACGGGACAATGGCGGGGAAGTGGGTGTGGCCATAAATGAGCCACGCGAGGGGGTCCCTGCGGTGATGGAAATGCTCTGGATCACAGCCAAGGTCATTCAAGGTCAACAGCCCCGCTTCGGGAGCATCTGGAGGGGACAGCCCAGGCTGAGCGTCCCCAGAGTGGGGCGGGGGGGCGGGGAGCGGAGCACTCACTTTGGTGAAGAGCCTCCACCACTGCCAATTCCTCAGCTTGAGGTAGGCCGCGCAGTTCCTCTGAATCACCTTCATGGCTGTCAGCTGTTGCTGCCGCTTGGCAAAGGCCCTGGGGAGACGGAAGGGGACGTCGTGAGGAGCCCTGGGGGGCCCGGCACCCGCCTCCCCGTGTTGTCCACGGGGTCCTGTCCCGCAGCATCCTGAAAGCAAGACGCATCTGCTGGGCATGTGGTTTTGTGACTCGTGTGGGGACATCCCCCCCATTCTCTCCAGCTCAGGTTCTTTATATATATATATATATATATATATATATATATTCTTTATATATGTATATGTTTATTCATTTTTGAGAGAGTCTGAGTGGGCAAGGGGCAGAGAGAGAGGGGCAGAGAGGATCAAAGTAGGCTCTGCACTAATAGCAGAGAGCCTGATGTGGGGCTTGAACCCACGAACAGTGAGGTTATGACCTGAGCCCAAGTCGGATGCTCCACCGACTGAGCCGCCCAGGCGCCCCTCTCCCACTCAGATTCTTCGGGAAGCTCCGAGCATCAGCACACGCACGTTGTCTGGGCACAGACCATTTAACTAATCTGGAGGCCAGAGCCTTGCTCCTTCATGGGCCAGGAAAACCCCAGCTCACAAAATAGCCTGGACTCGGGACGGTGGTCCAAACTACACCAAGGAAGGCCATTCCTACACATCTCCAACCGTCCCGTGTCTTCCCCAAAGCTGAGTGTCTGACAGACCTCTTCTCTCCTTCGGGTGCATTTTGGAAATCTCAAATCTGACACCGAACCAGCGCTCTTCCTGTTTAAGGGCTGCTGGGTCTGTGAAACCACAGCACAGAGAGCTCCTTCCTCTTTCCCCTGCTCGGCCGCCATCTTGAAACACGGGTGAACTCTCTACCTAGTGAGGCTGGGAGGAGCGGCATCAGAGAATTTAGTTATGAAATTCAACAACAGAGGTCTGTCCCTGGACTGCAAGCTCCCCACTTCTGGCCTTGCCTGTCTTGGATCCACTCGGCAATGACGCAGCCCAACACTATCAGGGCTCTGCCGATAAGAGCGTGGTCTGTACGTCGTGGTAACACACGCCCTGGATAGAGAGCCAGTCTGCCAGCCCTGTTGTCGTCCTCTTTGGGATGTGAGTTTCCTTGAGGAACCTCAGCCCTCACGCAGACCCCAGGCTTCACAATCGTCCAAGACTCTGCCTTATGAACCCCTTTCGGACATGGGGCTACGGATGCAGCCCGACACTCTTTCCTCAGATTCTTTACCACATTCTCACACTTCTCACACGATAACCAGGCCCTGCTCTCAGCTCTCTTCATGCCACACTTCATGGACTCCTCACTGACAACCCCATGGGGCAGGTGGGAGTATCCTCATTCTCCAGTGGAGAGACCTGAGCCTCAGAGAGAGAGAGAGAGAGAGAGAGAGAGTAACTTGCCCAAGGTTCACCAGCAAGTAAGTGGGGAGCCACATCTAAAACTCCAAGGCCACGATCTTACCCCCTTCCCCGCCTGCCCTTGTGACTAGTGCGTGTCTCTAAAGCCGCACCATTTCTGTCTCTGCCACCAAAAGCAGCCAGTCAGTCACGGATGCCTCCGAAACTACACCGTCTCGTAGAAGCAGGGAAGCAGGACACGAGGCCCGAGAGCCTCTGGGAGTGTGCGCGTCTGGGCTGTTTGCCAGGAGGCGATACAGCATGGGGGTCCTTACTTTCTGGCCAGGTAGCCGCGACACATGGCCTGGAAAGCCATGATGACGTCGGTGATCTTCAAGTCTCGTTCCTCTTCCAGATGGGCCAGGACCCCCGTTCGGAAGAAGATTTTGCTCTGCCCGATTCTGTACAAGTTGGGGTCGAGTTCCAGGGCTTTGATCTGGAGGAAGAAAGGGGGACAGGTGTTCCTATTCTCGGCTGGGACACGGGGCCTACGTGAGGCATGTTAAGGAGGGTCCCGCCCCCCACGAGCTCCTGGCGACGCCACCAGGGGCCGGGAGGTTTGCCGTCGGACTTCTGGGGAGGGGCTGGGGGCAGGGCTCACCATGAGAATGCAGGCCTGCTTCCCGTCCATGAAGCCTTTGGGAATGGCGTTGGCAGCCAGGATCTCGTAGCTGGAGACACAGGGCGGGTGTCACTGACCCAACGCCTCCCCTCCCCCCGGCCTGGCTCACACGGCCCCTGCACCCGCACCCCACCCCGTGCCTGCCCGGCGGGCTCACCGCTGGCGAAACTCCTGGAAGACGATCCTGTTGGGGAAGCCCTGACGGCAGATGCGGATGCCTTCCAACACCCCGTTGCACCGCAGCTGCTCCAGCACCAGAAAGGCGTCCAGCTTGCCCGACTGTGAGGACAGGGAGGCCAGTGGACCCCTGGGGCCGGGACTCCGGGAGCAGCAAGCCCCAAATCTCAGGCCTGGGGTCCCACCTCATCAGGCCCACAAGAGGTCTCTCTGGTTCTTGGTGACACCAGCATCATGTGGCTGGACACTGCGGCTTCCTCCTCGTCACCTCTCCTTCCTCAGTTCTACAGCAGCGACCTCCCAAAGAACTCCCAACGGACCCGCTTCTCTCCACTGCCATCCGCTCACCCCCAGAGCACCCCGCCTGCTTCCCACTGTTGTCTTGCCTCCCCCCTGCAACCTCTCATACCCCTTCTCTAACGTCAGTCAGGTCATGACATACCCCTGCTTTCAAAAGCCCCCGGTGGCATCCTCTGGAAGGAAGGCCAAGCCCGGGGCAACCCACAAGGACCAGCCCCTGCCAAGTGATTCAGCCCTGTCTCTCCCCAATCCCGGCCTCACACCATCACACGTCCGCATGAAACAACGACCTACCTAGTGTTTCCCTACCTAGACCCTTCGTTTCTCAACTCACATCTTTGCTTCTGCCGGTCCCTCTACCTAGGATGCCTGCCCCACCTCACCAAGGGGATCCCTCCTCCTTCCGGAGGCAGGTTTCTCCGAGCCCTGAGGCTGGAGTGGAAGCCCAGCTACACGTTGTTCTCATAATTTACCATGTTACACTGTGAGAGCAGCTCATTTGTCTCTCTCTCCCACTGGATCTCGCATAACATCAGCACCACTGGCACCCGGGGCTGGACTGGTCTCTGCTTTTCCATCCATGAGGGCCGCCCGGTGCACCACAGGGTGTTTAACAGCATCCCTCCCTGGCTTCTATGCACTGGATGCAAACAGCAGCTCCCTCCCAGTTATGACAACCAACAGTGTCTTCAGACATGGCCAAACGTCCCCTGGGGGACACGACCGCCCCAGCCGAGCACCCCTGCACTAGATCACGATGCGAACCTGCAGGCAGGGACTGCAGTTCATCCAGCACCGTATCCCCAGCATCTGACACAGGTGCAGCTCAGTAAATATTGACTGGAATAACGAACGCGTGAGGGACCTGATGCCCTGGCCAGCAACTCCAGGGCTGAAAGCCCCTTCTGTTCCCTTGCTTTCCTTTGTCTCCAGGATGCGGAATGGGTACCAAATTCAGACAACCTGCCTCCCATGTCAGACGGAGCCCTTGGGGTATGGAGGGAAGCTTTCTTCCTGCCCCTTTACCCGGGTCTGCTTCTCCCTTTCCCAAAGCTGCCGGACGCTAGCCCCAGGGAGGACCTTCTGCCCACCCAAGGAGCCGGGCAGGGGGCCTCACCCTCTTCTCGTGGTTGGGGATGATGCAGCGCACAAAGTTGGGTGTGGTGTTGCGCAACGTGGTCATCAGCTTCCCCAGCTGCTCTTTGTACAGCTGCCCCACCGTGCGGAACATGCCCTTCTTGGTCTTGGAGGCGCTGGGCAGTGAGCTCTCGGTCATCTTGGCCATCTGGTCCAGGCCCACAATGCGGTCCACTGTGGGGCACATTAATGTTGGTGTCAGCCTCTGGCCCACCCAGGAGCCCTCAACCCCCCACAACAGGCCAGAAGACCAGAGTGTGGAGACCCCAAGTCCTCTGCTCCCTCCTGGGGAGCACCACCCCCTTCTTTCCTTTGCTAGCCAACACCTTTCCTCTGGCAATAGGTAAAGGGAGGTGTGCAGAGGATTGCTTTCTGTGTATTGTCTAGTTGGGAAATCCTGAAAGCCCCTGAAAGCCCAAATTCTCTCTGATGTTGTCACAGAGACCCGGGAATAAATCCTGCTCATGCCATGGTCTTGGCCTGGGGCCATTTTGTGCCTCAGTTTCTCCTTCTACAAAATGGGGGTAGTAACAGCATCTACTTTACAGGGCAGGAGTAAGTGAATAAGGCATGGAGAGCATTTACCCCTCCTGCCTGCCTTCAGTCCTTCATCTACCAACAAATGTTTTTTGAGAGCCTATTATGTGCCAGGCCCCGTGGATATAGCCATGAACAAAGACCCTGTGTCTCTACACACACACACCCCAGCCCATACTCTACACATATTCTAATGGAAAGAGAAGGATAAATGTTATGTATACAAGCAATATTCTAAGTGGTGAGGCATGCTTAGAAAGATAAAGCAGCATAAAGGGGGAAAGAGAGTGATGGGCGTGATCTCTCTGATAAGTTATTTGAGCAAAGGCCTAAAAGAAGTGAGTGAGTGATCCGGTAAATATCCATAAAAATAATATTCTGGGCAGAAGATGTAGTAAGTATTCCAAGGTAGGAATCTGGAACATTTACAAATGCTCAACAAAGAATATGTGGTGGTGTTATTGCAACCACCAGAAGGTTCTTTTTCTTTCAGAACAGAAGGAGAGACTTCACCAGCCCAGTGGGTCCCGCGCATGCCAAGCTCAAACCACTGGCATTGCTATGAATTGCCCTTAAAGCGCTGCTCATGCTGCACCCCATGAATTTTGCTAAGTTGTGTTTTCATTTTTATTTAGTTCAAAGCATTTTTAAATCTCTCTTGATAAATAACACACAACAAGAAATTTCTTCTCTGAGTCACCTGTTACTTAGAAGTGTCTTGTCTAATCTCCATGGACACAGGGATTTTCCAGCTACCTTTCTCTTACTGATTTCTGGTTTGAGTCTATGGTGGTCTAAGAGCAGACACTGTATGCTTTCTATTCTTTCAGATTCATTAAGGTGTGTTTTACGGCCCCGAATGTGGTCTATCTTGGTGGCCATTCCATGTAAGCTTGAGAAGAATGTGTATTCGTCCATTGTTGGATGAAGCCGTCTATAGAAGACAGTTATATTCAGTTGGTTGATGGTGGTTCAGTTCAACTCCATTGGCATTAAGATGCCCCATTTCTGTTCCTTGTACTCAGGCTCCATGTAATCAAGTCTTGTCTCCTGCAAGACTTTGGGCTCCTTGAGAGAAGGACCTTGCTGGGTTGGTCAGGAATCCCAGGGGGAGATGCCATTACCCCATCCCAGGGCCTGGTACATGGTGAGCATTCAGGAGACATTTGGCACAGCAGACCCCCATGTGCAGAATTCTCTACCACACTAAAATCAAGGGTGGCTGGTCCTATAAGCCCAACACCCACAGGCTCTGTGCCAAGGACAGAATTTGCTGTGGGCACCAAGGTCCAGGAACAAAAGAAGAAAAGCCCACTGCCCCTAACAGTCATCACAGCAGCTGGCATGTACTAAGCCTTTCCTATGGGTGTGGCAGGTGCTCAGCCCTTCACATGGATTATCTCTTCACTGGTTCTCAGAGGCAACCAAAGTGTGGTGCCCAGAGCATCAGCAGTAGAACCTAGGAATGTGTTAGCAATGCAAATTCCCAGGCCCCACCTAGACTTGCTGAGTCAGAACCTCCCGGGTACGGCCCAGCAGTCTGAGTTTTGACACGTCGCCCTGGAGGTCCTAATACATGCTCAAGCTTGAGCCTCTGGTCTAATTCTACCCTCGCAATAATCCTAGGAGAGCTGGGAACTATTGTCATCTTCCGGGTTTTACTAAAGAGGACGCTAAAGCTTAGTGATGTCAAGAGACTTGTCCAAGATCACACAGCTAGTGCAGGGCAGAGACAAGACTGTCTTTGTGGCTCCAGATGGGAACTCGCCATGACCCCTGCACTACCGTTTCCTCTATTACAGCCTGTGCCTTGATTTAAGACCTTCCCCCTGGGGTCCAGGTGTGGGATTGAGGGGTCAGGGGTCACCACTCAGGAAGTGGCTCAATGTGTCAACAAGTCATCCCCGACACCCGCCCACACTGCCCTCTCCCCACCCCACACAGGCCCACCCATCCTGGGAGGAGGCGTGGGAACAGGCCAGGGGTAACTGCAAGGAGGTAGAGGACTTGGCATCCAGTCCTCCAGCGCCAGTAGGCAGGGCCTCACCGTCCTTCCACAGGTCGGCCACAAACTTGTCCGAGGAGGCATTGAGGAGGGAAGTCACGTTGTCATTCAGCGGGTCCATGTTCTTGGTCAGCCAGGCACTGGCATTGTAGTCCACCTGCCAAGGATCCCACCACTGGTCAGGTGTTTCTGCTTCAGTTACAAACTAAGGGCAGGGCCCACGGCCTCCTGTTTCCCTCCCGGATCCTCCCAGGTCAGAGCGGAAATGGCATTAGAGCCGCCATGATGGGAATCCGCAAACACCAATGGAGAGACTGATAGATCAGTATGTTAAAGGGCCCTGCGCATGGTGGGGCATCAGCCAACAGTAGCCATTGCCGAGCTATCCTTGCCTTCTCTTAGCAAGTTTCTGGCAGCCTCCTTTCTCCAGAGCCCGGAAGGACGGCTGTGACCTCCTAAAGGTGTAGGGCTTTGGGGGATGGCAAACACTCTCCCTCACACCCAAAGATCTTCTCTCATGTGGAGAAGACCGGGCAACAATTAAATTACATTTGAGGATCTTATTTCCCATCTGTGATGAATGTAGTTTGGGTAACTTGGAGATTCTGATATACGGATATAAAGAAAAAGGATACATAGAGCTTTTTAAACTCCTAACTTGAACACTGACAGTGGCCCAACTCTTGATGCTATTATTGTGACTATGAAATGGAAAGAACTTGTAAAATAACTCTGGTGGGTTATTACGGGACGTGGGTTATGATGATGATAGCCAGGCCTGATGGGAGAGGGGACTAAAAACTATCACTTGGAAAGTAGGGAAAAGAAAAGTGTTACTCTAGGTGCTTAAGGGAACGTACACTCCCTTGAATATAAGGTAGGAGTTGGCAAGCGTTTTTGGTCCAAGGCCCAGATAGTAAATGTTTTCAGTTTTGTAGGCCACAACTTCTTTGTCACATACTGTCACAAGCCATCAGAGACATTATGTAAATTAATGGACGTGGCTGTGTGCCAGTAAGACTTTATTTACAAAAACGGGCTGTGGGCCAGATTTGGCACATGGGCCGTGGTTTGCCAACCCCTGGTATAGGGCATTGCCTGTTTGTATGCGGCAGTTGGGGGCGGGTAGGGGAGAGAGAATAAAATACTCAGATTCTGCAAGCCAGACTAAGATGTGTCTTTTTTTTTTTTTAATTTTTTTTTCAACGTTTATTTATTTTTGGGACAGAGAGAGACAGAGCATGAACGGGGGAGGGGCAGAGAGAGAGAGGGAGACACAGAATCCGAAGCAGGCTCCAGGCTCTGAGCCATCAGCCCAGAGCCCGACGCGGGGCTCGAACTCACGGACCGCGAGATCGTGACCTGGCTGAAGTCGGACGCTCAACCGACTGCGCCACCCAGGCGCCCCTAAGCTGTGTCTTTTCTACACTATCCAGGACCCTCAGGAGCCATGGGCGAAGGTCCTATATATTTACAGCTATCAGATGATGATCATCATTATGAAGGAGGAGGAGGAAGAGAGAAGTAGGGAGGGAGGGAGAGGAGGAGAAAGAGGCAGAGGGGAAGTGGAGGAAGAAGAAGAAGGAGGAGAAGGAGAAGAAGGAGGAGGAGAAGGAGAAGGAGGGGAAGAAGAAAAAGGAGGAGGAGGAGGAAGAGGAGAAGGAGGAGGAGGAGGAGGCGGAGGGGGAGGCGGGGGAGGACGAGGACGACGCGGAGGAGCAGGGGGAGGAGGGGCAGGAAAACAACCATCATCTATTTCCCTGGACAGCACAGGCATGTGATAGGAAACTCAAGGCTGTGATAAGGGAGACTTTTGTTGGAAGGGTGTGAAGGTGTGTTTATTGGCCATCCCATCCCAGCTGGCCCTTCCTGTTGGGTTTAAGTTGTAGCGGGAAGGATTCAGAGTCTACGCAAGAAAGAATTACCTGTCTACCTTGGTTGGAATAGGTTACAGAGATTAGAATAGATATACAATTATGTCTTAGGACATATACCTCTTACAGACACTCAGACAAATCATACATAGGACTCGCTTGGATTGATTTACACCAGATGCCTTTGGGCTCTGCCATTCCCTAACTACTCCCACTCTGACACCCCGCCTGGTCCCCGGGGACAGGGAGAGCCCTGGGGCCCATGGCTGGTACCTTCCCGGCATAGTGGATGATGGAGAACTCTGTTTTGTCCTTGAGCTGCTTGGGCTTCTGAAACTTGGGGTGGTTGCCCTGCTCCGTGCACAGCTTCTCCACGAAGGACTTGTCTGTGGCTTTAGGGAACCAGCACTCCTCGTCCAGCAGGGCCAGCACACCCGGAGGGTTGTTCTGTGGAAAGCAGGGAGGGTGGGATCACAGCTAGGGGGCTCAAGCCTCGGGCTTGCCAGAAAGAGCCGGCCGCTGAAACGCACCGTAGGCAGCCCCTACCTCTGTGACCGTATCTGCCTACAAAGTCGGATTTATGCCTCCCACACCTACAAGTCTATCCTCAGATGGCCCTGTGGCCGATGGACCCACACTGAGGACACAAGGGCAGGCGCCAACAGAACGTGTGCAATTCTGCCCCCTCGTGGACAGTACACGCGGAACAGCACAAAGATCTCAGGCTTGAATTTGATGCTTTGCATATAAATTCACCTCAGGGTTCTTCTCTGTGGCCCAGACAGGCCAGGAGCACAGCCAAATTCACACCTGCCATTCACTTTGCTAGAAATGGTCTTCACTTCGCTAGAGAAGTATTTCTTTTCTTTTTAATGTAAGCTCTACACCCAACGTGGGGCTTGAACTCATGACCCCCCGAGATCAAGAGTCACATGCTCCACCGACCCAGCCAGCCAGGCACCCTGAGAACTATTTCTTCACTGCTCTGTCCAAAGCAGGCCTCCTTAAATCATTCTCCGCAGAGGCCTTATCAGAGAAGCTTTAGTGGCTTTCTTTGTCTGTCTTGTTTCTTGGTCTACTCCTTCAGGAAGGGCAGGGACTATGTCCATCTTGTTCATGGTTACATCTCCGGCCCCTAAGAGAGGGCCCGGCACAGAATAGGTGCTCAGTAAATAGTCATTCAACAGTGACTTAGTGTGCACCTACTGTGGCCATGGTTCTAAGGAGTTGGGGATCCATCAGTGAGAAAAACAAAGACCCTGCCTTTGGGAATGAATGAGTCAGAGAGGGGGAAGACAAGGAAGGGAATAGGGAGAGGAGAGGAGAAAAGGCAGAAGGGAGGGGAGGACAAGGGAGGAGAAAGGAAGGGAGGGGAGGGGAGGGGAGGGGAAGGGAAGGAGGGAGGGGAGGAGAGGGAAGGGGAAGGGAGG